CTGACCCGCTGTGGCCCTGATAGAGGCAGCATCAGAGCCACTGGATGGTTCAGTCAGGCAGAAGGCAGCTATATGTTCACCTGGAGGGATAAACACACACATGCAGCGTCAAACACAAACATATACACCAGACATCGTCCACACACGCAGCAGCTACTTCTCAGCTCAGTTTAAACCTGTTGTTAATTCTCCTTTGGTTGCAGAGCTACACAGATGTGAAATAAACATTTCTCTTATTGGCCACATGTCCCATTTAAAGAAATCAACACTGAACTGATCTTTAAAACAAATGTTATGTAGTCTAAATCTGATATATCTTAGTGCCCCGTAACATAAATACACTGTTTATATAAAAATGCCACAAGTTACCTTTACAAATACTGTACATAAATGAAAGGTGATCCATTGGCTCAGGGGTTGAAACAACCATGACGTGCAATGTCTCCAGTTATAGTCCGGCTTGAGGCTTTTGTTGCATGTAGTCCGTCCCTATTTCCCCCTTACTTCCTGTACATATTGTGTATCAGCCCCACTAATACTGGATATGCAAGGCCAATAGCCATACTGATATTTAAACCTTACAGTAATCTCATAATGGCATATTGATTGAAGTAGATTGCATTTACACAGCCCATAATGCAAGTCAATTTGTTCTGTGCAGGACATTTTACACTTGTTTGATTTGTGTACTTCCATTACTTGTTATTAATGGCTCATACGCCGAGTCAAAACTCATTTTTCTGAATAGCTTGTCATGTTTAATATCCCCTTCTGCCTAACCTACCTACCGTGTTCTCTACTTTTAATGTGTTGTATAAACACAATGTAATATTATGGGTCAAAAAAAAATGCAGGCAATGCTGAGAGCACATCCAATGACTGTGTCTTCTTACCTGTGGCAAGTTTAGGCAAATACTTTGCCTTCTGGGCTGCATTTCCATAAAGCAGGATGCCCTTGAAGCCAATGGACTGGTGGGCACCCAGAGTGATGCCAACGCCCAGGTCATGACCGCCAACAATCTCCACCAGCCGGGCATACTGTGGGATGGATGGAGACCATCACATTAAACTCACTGAACTGTGTATGTACAGAGTAAATCTAGCCAAATCGGTGTACCTGTGTGTTTGTGAGGCCGAGGCCACCCAGGTCAGCTGGCACCTGCAGGCCAAAGGCACCCATCTCCTTCAGGCCCTCCATGGTGTGATCCTCCACCTTCTCCAAGGCTTCATTCTTGACAGGATCATTCACCTCCTGTTTGCAGAAACATAGAGGGGGATGAGAGAATGAGAGATGTAAAGAGGCTGTGAGACAAATTTCTCTGAGTGCAAACAAGTTAGAAATTACCTCAAAAAATTTGCTGACAGGCCCCACAAGCTCTCGAAGAAACTGCTCCTGCTCATGATTGAGAACTACAGCACAGACAAGCGATTACACTTTGCCTTCAGTCCTACAAAGACGTTCAATGAACTGTTGGCAGTCTTAAAAACAGATTTTATAATCAACTTCCTAGGGTTTACCAGAGGGAAACGGAAACACTTGGGAAGTCGCAATCTGCCCCTTGAAGATGTTGACCACAAATGATTTGGATTCCTGTGGAAAAGGTCAAACAGTAAAACTTGCTCAGCACAACAGTACACAGTGTTTTGTTAAAGATGCCCCGTGGAGCTGAACACAAGTCATTTACTTGTTGTGTAACCTGGAGGTCTAACGAATCTGTTTGATGCATTCTATTTCTCATAACATTTGCAAAGCTTATTTTTTAATATATTTGCTTCCTGCACTGTTTACATCATGTTTACTAGCTTACTTTTGCAGAGGTAGAAAGTACACAGTGGTAAGTAAGGTTTTTTTTTATTTTGCCATACTACTGCCACCCGCTGATCGCAGGAATAATGTGAACCACGTCATCCACAAGCATACGCATCCAAACACAAGGACGCATTCATAAAAACCTGCTCAGGTGCTGCTAAGACATGATAATTGCAGTACATCAAATCAGTTACTCTGTACAGACCAATGCAAACCAACTGCTCCAACTGTTTAAAAGCCATTAAAAATATAAGTGAATAATTAATGACTTTATAACATACAGCAGCAACTGTCTTCTTTTCCACTTTAGTGGCAACATCGGTGCCGACTGCTGCCGGCTTCTCCAGCACTGCCTAAAGAGCAAAACAAAAATTAAACAGAAGGAGAGTGAACAGCTCATCACCTTGATAAAATACAAGTTTAAGAAGCTGGAGAGTATTTAAAGCAAAAACAATGCTTGATTAAACAATGTGGCTGGAAAACAAATATCAGGCCCTCAGATCAGCATAACAGGGGAGAGATTTGTCCTCAAGTAAATTAAACAGTTAACCTAACAAAGAGGCAGATACAGTGCTGTTGACTCTTGCTTTATTACTGTATTATCATAAAACAAAAGCTAGTAACACTGTGTACTCTGCTCAGCTGATCCCAGTAATAAATCTGAACCACAGGCTTTAATACTAGGATGTTCAATTATACAGATAATGAACTGGTGCCTGAGAGTAAACCTGTAATATCACTGTGTTTATTAAAGCAAGTCAAATATAATACACCTGAGTGAACAAGACACCTCAAAATTAAACATCACAACAAAATGAACACTTCAGTTTAGTCACAGTAAAATCAAAGCAGCTTGACAGAGCCTAAAGGTATATCAGTGTCTGTATTTACAGGTAATTTACTTTTACATTTCATTTGTTTCTGACTTTTTCATCCTACATACACAGCAAAATAAGCTTTACACATTTGTAGTTAGAGACAAAAAGGAGAAAAGCAATGAAAGGAGACAATCAAATGCAGATAAAACAACTTATGATGGCAACATCATCACACAAAAAAAGTAAATACCCATAAACAGCTGTACCGTGAAGACAATGACGTTTAAAATGAGTGATCAGGAAAATTAAGGAGCAATATTATTATTATAATAATAAATACCGGCACAGATCACTGTTACCGCACCTAGAGGAGGTGCAGGTAGGTCTAAATGCTTCTAAAACAAAAAGTCTGCTACAAATTATAAAACAAAAAACATCTCAACTACCTTTGCGACATGTCATGTCTTTAAAAAAAAAAATCTGTCCACATTTGTAGCTTAACACTGAACACACTTTTAGTTGTGTGTACACAGTATGTGGTTGCTTTGGACAAAAGTGTCAGTCAAAGGAATGTCGGGTAACATGACAAAGAGATTTTGTTAGATTTATTGTGACAGTGGTGGATTAGCAACCACGTGAAGCACAGCAACACCTTCCCTGCTGCTCTGCCCTGGATATCTGCAGGGTCACCTATGCATGGTGTCAACTTTATCACAGAGTCATGTGACCGGTGAACTTTCCCCTACTTCCGTGAGGTCAAGTCAACAGTGTGTCAGGCAGCCGCTGCATTTGGCCACACAATGACAATAAGTGGATTAAATTATTTAAAACCACAGCAGGGACACATATCTGACAAAGCGCAAATAAAAAACGCAAATACTGTATATTGTAAGCTAATGTGCTATTGTGCCCTTACCTGTGCTGCTTGGCTTGCGTAGAGACGAGTGTTGTGCACAGCAATAACAGCCGCAGCCTGACGCTGACCTCTGCAGCCCAGACAAGAAACAATAATGATTTTTATCATTTTATCTATTGTTAAATATATTAAATAATACTTGTAAACACTGCCTACCCGGAGAACACAGGGGGAGTCGTGAAAATGGTGCCAAACAGCGTCGAAGACTGGCTTACTTTACGAAGCAACATTATTTTATTCTGGAAAATACAGAATCAGCTAACTGAGCATATTACATACATACATACAAGGCAAGGAAGTACGCAGAAAAATGATCAAATATACACAAAGAGGTCGGGGTAACGCTAGCTAGCAGCTTACGTACGTGCGTAGCCAAAAGCTTTCCGGGGTTGACCCGGTATTTGAAAACTCAGTCAAAATATTAGTGTTTCTATTGAAAAACAAGAGCATCAATGTATATATCAAACCTGTGCAAGTTATATTACAACACGTCCCTTGTGTCCGAAGAGCAGCCGACCTATGCACAAGTTACTCACCAGCGTTTCTACGAAGAAGAAAACCGGAAGTTACCCGCTGACAGACCGGATGTTGTACGTTTCTTTTGGATGTGAAATTGACTCTAATGTCGGTGGCGAAAAGTGAACTGGCTTTGCTTTGTACATAAAAATCGTAATCTGAAAAAATTACAACTAAAGTGTTTTAAAAGCAGTAGAGGTGTAACCATTCTGTGTGAATGGCAGAAAAGTAACATCAATGCATATGTTTAAAATGATTGAAGATGAACATACAGCAGCTCAAGAACCGATCTTTGTGTTTTTGTTTAGTGTGAGATCAAGTTCATAAACCAAGTTTTTGAATCCCCTTTCAAAACAACTAAATCCAGACAATATTTAAGTATCAAATTTATTCTCAAATACACAACAAAGGTGGCAACATGAAATCAAACAATTTAAGCTATCAATGTCATTCTCTTTGAACTGCTGACTTTTCATTTAGCACCTTAATAGTTTGGTTATACATGATTTATATAGTCACTCTTACAAAAATGAAATGGGTGAGTAACATAAAAGTAAGAATGGAGCATTTGGATCACAGTTAGATATATACTGTACTGTATGCAATCAAAAAGTACCACTTTTGCCGGCTAGTACCTTTAAGCCTCTACAGCCCCACAACACATACCATGGTACTCCTCTCAATAAGAGACATCTGATGACTAGGCCTAGACAGTGATGACTAAAAAGTTCACGACATTTTTGGACCTATTTTCTCTTCACATTAGAGCATGTTATTCTGTACTGCTGCATTTACACAGGAGCAGTAGATATATACAAAGACGTTCATTGTCAAACAATGTTGGAACACAGAGATATTTTATGTACCTGGAGTGTGAAAATGTCTCTAAACATGAAAAAGTAAGGCACTCAGCATTCTCCTATACTGCCAATGAATCAGGAATGATGATCCAGACAAATATACAGGACTGTATCCTTTTCAAGTACTCGGTGGACCTGGCACCCTCTAGTATTAAACTGTGGTTCGTGCACTTCCTGAATAGGCGACTGGGAAAGTGGCTCCTAAAATGTGGTATTTCTGTTGTCAGGAGTTCAAATATTGAAAACAAGACTGATATGTAGTGGATTTAAATCAGAGAAACTAGACTTTGTGGACACATTTAGTGAGACCATATCTCACATTTAATGTGTTTTGTCTTAATTTTGTTTGTCAACGTTAAACCCTGTTCTCACCAAATTTGTAACAAGGGCCCTCTATCCAATAGGCCCTTGTGAGTTCTAAAAGCTATCACCAGATCCTTGTCAAAGCAAGTGGGAACTGTACACTAACTTCACATGAATGGTCACTCAGCATCAAGACTGAAACTACATGACGTCCACAAAGAACTCGCTGGGGTTGCCCATGGCCAGGTGGAACGATTGGCGTGATGCAGTCAGCTCTGGGGGTACGGAGCCCAGGTCACGGGTGGGTGGGGCACCAGGAGGTCCTCCTGGAGTAGAGGAAGGGGGCGGGGGTAGAGCCGGGTGCATGGGCGCTGTGGCCAGCTGCTGCGTGTGAGGAAGGGCGTGAGCGGCTGCCAAGGCTGGGTGTGGGTGCTGGGGTACCATCATCACCATCATGGGGTTGTACGGCATGATACCTGGCGGGTATGGAGACATGTGGGGCGGCTGAGGCATGCGGTGATGATGTGAGCGCTGGGAGGCATGGCTATGCTCGCTGGGGGCGGCTGAACCATGGCCACGCCTCAGGCTGCTGCGGGTGGAGTATTCTGATTCACTGCCACTGCCAGAGCGCGAGTCGGCTCCGCCACCTTCTCCACCTCCACCAGAAGGGGACTTCTCCCCTCCCCCCACAGTGCTGCCAGGACCTTTACTACTGCGACGTCGCTCACCCTCGCTTCTCGTTGACCCACTGCTTCGGCTCCCTGCAGCCAGAAATAAAAGGCTGTTTCATACAGGTCTGAAAACTTGCGCTTTAAACAATTAAAATCTTGTCCATTAATGACAAATGAAAGCATCAGTCCCAGACTTGCACATGATTTTCAGCAGG